AGGCGGCCACCGGAGAAGCCGGTGAGAGCCGCGCCCGGCCGGAGGGGGCTGGGGACACGAGTCTGCATTCGTGAGCCCCGCCCCGCTCTGAGCCCCTCGCCCCTTATCGGGTCCCTCGTCCTCCCCGTGCTGCCCCCAACTAAGCGCCCTCCCCCTGCCCAACCCCCTCTCCTTCGCTCGGCCCCGCCCCCTCGAGCCCCTCTCCTTCACCAAGCCCTTCCGTTCATTGAGTCCCCCAGAAAGGAACACACTGACTCGGCCCCTGTGTTACCATCGCCTGCTCTTGGCCCCCTCTGCCCTCCCGCAGGGGTCCCGCACCCACCACCAAATGTGTGAGTGGCCCTGGGAGGGGGCTTGGCTGGGCCCCATCTCTATGTGACCCCTCCTCTGTCCTGAACGAGACCCTGGCAAGTGTTTGGGGCCCAGCTAACCCTGTCCATCTGTCTGTCCTTTCTCCCCGTCATCTATGCTCAGCAAAAAGAGGAGACTAGAGTCAGAGTGCAGGTCAGTGATGAAGGTGGGCAGGGGCTGGCCAGGGGCAGGGGGGATGTCTGTGGATGGGGGAGACACCAAGGCCATCCCAGAGGCAGGAAGCCTGGCACCTCAGGGCCCAGACCCTGGACACTGCCAGCATGCCAGCTTCTCCCCACAGAGGCCAGAAATCCCACCACTAACCCTTGAGTTCAAAACCGTCCTCGCTTCCTATGCCAAGGGGGCTGGATGGGTATTTGGACAACACAGCCCACACCATCAACTACTCTTAGGGACCTGCAGACCCTGGGGGTCTCGGCTTACCTGTACAATAGGCATTGCCTTCATGGCCTGGAACCCCCTTTAGAGCTTCAATATCCCGGGCACCCAGGCTTCTCCAGCCATTTCCAGGCCCCCATCCCACCCACCCCCGCTCACTAGAGCCCACCCCTGTGTCTGCAGCTGTGGGAGCGCCTCGCCCCTGCGCAAGAAGAAGAAGGGTGTGAAGAAGCACCGCCGAGACAGGTACCCTCCCTGCCCCTCCACAGGGCCTCCTCTCACTCCTGTGGGGCTCAGGACCCGGGCTGTGCCCACCGCCCACCGATCAACCAATCTGTCTCCCCCGGGCCACCCCAGGTCGGCTCAAGGGAGCTCCTGTATTGCCCTACAGGTCTGATTCTGGGTCCCGAAGGAAGAGACGGCACAGGTGAGCAGTGCTCTGCGGAGGAGAAGGCAATGATGGGAGGGGGCTGTGTCTTCCCCGCTCCCTCCTCCAACTCCAGGGCCTTCTTCCCAGAGCCAGCCAGGGGACTGGAGGTGGGAGGAGGAGCACGAAGACCAACCGTTTGCAAACCTTGCCTACCCCATGAGTCAGCCTTGACGTGGGGGCCCCCCAAAGTTCCAGACAACACTGCAGGTTCCATGTCCAAGGGGTATGTCTGTGGAGATGCCAGCTGGGAAGGCAGAAGCATCAGGACCTGAATTTGCAGGGAAAGGACATGCCAGGCAGAAGGACCTCTGTGTGCTGGGAAGCTCAGTGGGTCGGAGATGGGGAGGACAGACTGTGACTAGAGATAGTTTCTGAGGGGACAGGTGCCAGCCCATGACGGGCCTGACTGCCAGGCTATGGATCTGGCCTCCACCCAGGCAGGGCTGGGAGCCAGCATGGGGCTCTGAGCAGGACAGGATGGGTTGGGGGAGGGGAGGAGAGGGGCTAAAAGGCAGGAGCCCAGGCAGAGGCAGGGGAGCCAAGGAGGAGCAGAGGGATGCTGACAAAACAGAAAACTCAGCATGGAGGGAAGTGATGGGGCAGTCACATCCCCATGGTTGGCATTGGAGCCAGACTCCCTCTCAGCAGCTCTGAGGAGGGGCAGAGTCCCAAGTCCCTCCCTTGCAGTGGGAATTTGCCCACAGCCACTTGCCAGGTAGGGAAAGAGTCTAAACAAACACTTCATCCCACCCCTTCATTGTGGGTCCCTACTGCCCCCCAGTGGTCACCAACAGCTTGCACAGATCCTCTGACCAGCTCCTATCAGTCCTGGAAAGGACCTAGAACTAGACCAGCTTCAGATGGGGAGACTGAGGCCCAAAGCAGGCAAAGTGGGTTCCAGAACTCAAATCTTTGGCCTCCTGGGTCTGCCACCCACTCACTCTGCTCCTGTGGGAAGCACATCTCAGTGTTTCTCAACATCACTTCATTTGGGGAATCAGAAGGACTAAAGAGATCCTGTGGCATCAGGGAGGATGGCAACCTTCGGGAACTGGGGGTAGGGTGAGACCTTAGAGACCTAGTCAGAAGCTTCTTGATCCTTTCGCCAAAGGCAGAAGGTAAGGCCATGGGTTCGGATCCCTATACCAGACAGCGGGGAAAAAAAAAAAAAAAAAGGCAGATGCTGGCCTGCCCCAGACAGCTGGTTGGGGTGGGATGGGAAGCTTTGAGAACAGCCCTGGATATGGATCCGGAGGAGTCACTCAAAAGCAGAGAGATCATGCCCTAGGAAAGCATTTATTCCCTCAACCTCTGGTGAGCTGAGAGCACTGGGAGGCAGGGGGCACAGACGGTACAAATGAGGTGTGCAGGGGCCACCCCACCAAAGTTGCTCATCAGGGGGCCTGTCCCCAGATTGAAGCCAGCAGGCAAGCGCAAGCCCTTCTACCCTTTCTACCTGGCCCAAGCCTGAGGCTGCCAGACCTGCAAACAACACCCCCTTCCTCCTGGGGCCTGGCCACACACCTGTGGCACTCCTAGAGGGAGCTGCAGTTGGAGCCCAGGCAGAGATAATCATGGGCCAGGACTTACAGAAGAAGGAAGGAACGAGCCTCAGTAGAGTGAATGGGGCGGAAGCAGTGGAGTAGGACGGGCCAGACCCCGCCAACCAGGGAGGCTCAGGCCCAAGAGAAGAACAAATCTCAGATCTGCGCCTGGGAACAGCCTGGCTCCTGGTCTCCGAGGCCATGTCCTCCTCCTGCCCTACTCAAGCTGCACCATCACTGTGGTCTCCGCTTCCTGCAGATCTCGAAGCCCCAAGAGCAAAAGAAAAGAGAAGAACAAAGAGAGGAAGAGGTGAGCACCCTCCCCGCCCTCCGGGCCTCCAGCCCCTCTAACCCCCCACCACCCACAGCAAACCTGGCCTTGTAGGATCACAGAACCAGGCCCTTAAAGATAGCTCATTTTGTCCCCCTTGCCCAGATGGAAAAATTAAGACCCAGAGAGGAATCCAAGAGCCCTCGGTGGGTGAGTCAGTGGCAGAGCTGGAACTGGAACCCAGGCCTCTTGCCTCCAAATCCAGGGTCCTTTCAAGCTCAGTCCTTGTGACTCCCCTACCTGTCTTCCTCCCTCCTCTCCCCACTCCCTCTCCCCCCTCCCTCGCCCCAACAGTTACGAGAGCACCAGGTGAGGGGTGAGTGAGGTCTTGGGGGTCTGGGGCTGTCTAGAAAAAAGGGGGCCTTTTCCTAACTCTCACAGATGACCTATACGGACCAGCTGGGTGTCGCACCAAGCACCAATCCTGTTGTTCTTTTGTAGGAGACTGGGAGGAGGGGGTGGTCCGCGTCTTCCCTCACGGGATCCCTGTGGGGAGACCAGGCCACTCAGGGCGGTGGTGGGCAGAACTTAGGTACAGGCTGATTTCCCTCCCCCACGCCAGGCCCCACACAGAGTCCCCAGGCCGGAGGTCCCCTCGCCACAGCAGCGGCAGCTCCCACAGCCCCTCACTCTCCTCCCACTACAGTGATTCGGGATCACCCAGCAGGTAGGCCTGGGCCCCCGAGAGGGCTAGGCCGTCTGGGGGTGGAGTGGGGGGTGGGGTTGCAGATTAAACACTCCAAGGGCTGGGCAGCGGGGCTGGTGGACAGAACATCAGTTAATCAGTGGGTAGAAGTTTGTCACGGGTGTGCTGGTGCCCACTTGGAGGAAGAGCTGCCCTAAGGCACCCCAGACCCTGAACTGGAAATCAAGCTGTGTGCAGGGTGGCTGACTCGGGTTGCGCTCTCTCCAAGTGAAAGAGCTTCTGGGCTCGGCGAAACGGCGGGTGGGGGGCTGCCCCCACCTCGTGCCGGGGAGCTGCAGCTCGTAGACCGGGCGTCCCACGCTGGCTGCCCCCCTCCCCGTGTCTTCCGTTCGCCTGTCGCCAGGCTGAGCCCCAAGCACCGAGACGACGGGCGGAAGACAGGCAGCCAGCGGTCCAGCGAGAGCAGGTCGCCTTCCCTGTCGGGCGGCAGCGGATGGGGGTCGCCCCAGGAGAACGGCGGCGGCAGGCAGCGGAGCGGAGCGCACGGGGGCCGCCCGGGCTCGGCGCACAGCCCGCCCGATGTACGTACACTTGGCTTTGCGTAGGGTTCCCGCGCCGCGCCGGCTGCGCCGCCGAGCAGGGTCGGGCAGGTCGCCCGAGGGGCCGGGGCCGGGCAGTGCGTCACGGGGGGCGGGGGCGCTGCACACGTCCCTCAGGGTCGGCCGCTTCCTCCTTCCCCTGCGCTCGCCGCCCCACACCCCCGCGGGGGGCGTCCTGGCACGGGAGCCACCAGGAGTGTGTGCCGTGGTTGCGCCCACCTGGCCCTAGTCAGGGTGAGGGGGGCCTGCAGATTTGGGCTACCCTTGAGCTTGGCAAATTGAGAGCCAGAGAGGGCTGACCACCGGGGCACTCGGTTGGGTACAGATCTGGGGAGGAACCAAAGTCTCCTGCCTCCCCGCAGGCATATCGGGGTGGGAGGGGGCATGGGCACTGGAAGGAGTCGCGGTAGGCACGGATCTCCCCTGGGCATCACTCAGGCCCTGAGCCTCCCTCTCCCCACAAGTTCTTGTCCCCACTCTGAGCGCCCCCTCCCCTCCCTAAACCCCCTCACCAGCCCCTCCTCCTCTCTCAGATCCCTCCCCCATCTCAGTCCCCCTTCTAAAGTCCCTGCTCCAAGGAGAATCTGCTCTTTCGTGGGCACTGCCCACACCTGGACAGGTGTCTCAAACCTGCTCCATGGCCTGTCCCTCCTAAAGCACCTCCCAGTGCGCTCACTCCCTTCTGAGCCTGTTGGTCCCTCAGAAGACTCCACACCAACGCCGCCCCAAAAACTGTCCCGACCATTCTCCAGGAGGGGCACAGACCTACAGGCAGGTGTGCTGTTGGTAGGAACTGGCAGAGGAGACAGGCTTCTCAGCCTCTTCCCAGGTGGACAGGCTGTGCCAGGGTGGGGGGTTCTCCCAAACTCTGGGGGAGGTCTACATTCCCTTTTGTCTGTTGACTGTAGAGTACAGGGCTGAGACCTCTCAGAGAGAGGGAGCTACAAAGCTGGCAGGGGCACTGGGTGGGCACGGGGGACTTGGGGTAGGGAGGCCTGAAGGTTCCCCCCCAGACCCGCAGACTGCCCCAGAAGCCTCATCAGGGAGGGGAAGGGCTGCCCCTTCAGACCTCCGGTCTCAGCAGCAAACATGTACGTGTTGGTCAGTTTCATTTTGATTTTTGGCTGTTTCCTTTCACTCCCTTTCTTTTCTCAAACACCCTTACTCCCCCAGCATCAGAGAGGCTCTTGGTCTCAAGGTTAATTTTTATTTAAGGACATTACCTGTCTGTAGACTGTCCCAATTGGACAGGGTACCAGGCTCTGGGGCTCCAAGGGGAGGTTCACACTGATGTCCCCAGACCTGTCTTGGGAGTGGGAGAGGGCACGCAGAGGAAGCTGAAGGTAGCAATGGCAGGAATTGGTGTCACAGGCCCCGGAAAGGATGGGGAAACCCAGAAAAGAGCTTACTTACCCCCACCCCTCAGTGAGCACAGACCACTAAGGGCACAATGCCCCAAACACTTTCTCCAGAGCTTCAGATCCTCCTGGGGTCTCCCAAGAGACACAGAAAAGCAGGTTCTCTCGAGCCAGGGCTGAAAGTAGGTCCATTCTGGTCCCTTCCCTGGAGACCTGACCAGCTATCCCAACCCCATGCCCCCCAAGGGCCCTGGGCATGCTCAGACAAAAAGGCCACAGTAGGTAGACGACCCATGAGAGAGCAGTTGGCCAAGCGGACCTAACCTCCGGCCTCGAGGAGGGAGCCTCGGCAGCACCCAAATCTTGTCTCCCTCCCAAAATGGGATTCCATTTTGACATGGCCCTTGGGGTTTTCTAGGAGACAGCACTTTGTTAGTCCTTTCACAAAGCATTGTTGCCACATCCTGTCCCTAACCCTCTGGGCCCTGGGAGAATCTGGGACTTCTGGAACATCCCGGGTCTCTAACCTGTGTTCAGATCACCTGTTTGCCTGAAAAGTCTTTCTGAGGAGTTAAATGAGACTAGTTCTCTCATATCCAGAGAGGTGACATGGGGGGCAGGGGTCACAGACTTATCTTTAATCAAAAAATGTCTTTGGGAAAAGTACTGGGGGTGGTATTTTTGGACGCTATCTTTAACAAAAAAAAAGAGAGAGAAACAAACGAAAAAAGAAAAGCTCAACATTTTTTAACCCCGTCTATGTTTTTGTTTGTTTTTTAGCCTCCCATTTGAAACGTGGTAATATTGTGATTCCATTTCTTGTTTAGCCGGCAAGGGAAGAGGGTGGGGAAGTTTATGTAACTTTTCCTGTTATTTTGTTTTTGTTTGTATTTCCTTTAACTTTTTTTTTTTTTTTTCCTTTTGTAATGTACAGAAATGCAAACTATCTTTCTGGGTTTTTTTATATCTTCTATGTTGTTCTAGAATTTTGCTTTTTTGTGTGTGTTACTGTGGGAATCTTTCCTCCTAATGCAGAGATGGTTTTTGAATTTCAAGTGAACATTAATCATATACATATCTCTATATACTTATTTTTTTCCTTCATAATCAGAATTTAAAAGGGAAGACAACTCTTAAAAAGAATGACTCCCACACCAACAGCTCCTGCCAAATCAGCAGCAGCAGCCAGCCCTCTCCTCAACCCCTGGGCACACACTGGAACTGCCTCAGCTTTGAAATTAACAAAAGTGGTGCAGACTGTGCTTCTGTGTCCTGGTCTATAAGGACCTTAGAGAGGAACTGAGAGACCCAGGGAGGGGAAGAGTCTTGTCCTGGATCACCAGGGAGCTTCCTGAAGCTTGCTGTGATTCCTCAGATCAGTTTAGTATCATGTGGCTGGGCATGATGGGGAATCAGGCCTCAGATCCTTACGAAACCCTGGAGGAGGAATCTGAAGGTACCTGAGAGAGTTTAGCTCAGGTAAAAGCTTCAGAGCCAGACACTGCAGCCAAGAGAAATATTCCACTCTGGTTTGAGACTGAGGCCAATGGGGTGGTTGGTAGCTCCCAACAAATCTCTTTCTTGTCCCGACCCAGGCCAGGGCTGAACCTCAGAGGGATTTCTGGGTTCTGCTGCTTACAGAAGGGGAAACTGCAGCTCGGAGAGGTCAAGTGACCTTAATGTCATGCAGCTCAGTGTCACACAGCTTTTTAGAAGTGGATCCAAAAGTAGACCCAAGCCTTACAACCTCAAGACCTCCAGCCAAGCTGGAGGTAAATGGAGCACCCTCCAGGAGCCCTGAGGAGGAGGATAGGGGAGGTGGATGCTGGTTATCTTGGCCCCTGCATTCCCCTTGGGGTCCCTCCAGAAGTCTGTGGCATGCTTCCAGCCTTCTCGGCTCCCTGGCACTGGGGCATGCCCACACTGAGAGACCAGAGTATAGGTGACCCCCATGTAACAGAAGCCCACTCTTCATGATTGCTGTTTCAACACCTCAGGGAGTGCTGAGAGCCCTGACAGTTCACATACATAGGGGGAAATAAATAATGAGGCACAGAGATGGAAGGGAGCTGCTCAAGGTCACACAGTGTGGGACGGAAGAGTAAAACACTGAGCAGGAGACCTCACAAGGCAAGTCCTTCCATCCAGTCTCACCTGGTGCCTTTGCTGGCCTCCCTCCAGCCCCCAGGAGCACTGGCTGGTACTAGCTTTGCCCTCTCCCAGGCCCAGCACACTGGCCAGAAATAGTGTGCAGGGTTTGCAATCTCAGAAGTGGAGCCACATACCTTGGCTCCACCCGTCTCTAGTATTAGAAGTGTCAGGGGAAGCCTCAGAGGTGACACTGGTGAGATTAGTAGAGAAGGCTCACGAGCAAGCTCCCTGGGCTCTCTCTGGCCTCTGCCTCTGGCCCAAATTCTATCACATAATGGGCAGTGTGGGGTGTCCCAAGAAGAGGTGCCCTGGCACTCCCTGGCCTGCCTCACCAGGCTCCCTACCACCCATCCCCAGGAAACAGCAAAGTCAGAATAGGAGGGGACAGCTTGGCATTTCTTCCAGGATGTTCCTCTTGTTTCCCAGGGTGAAGCCAGAAGGTAAGAGTGATGAATTTTGCTAAAAGGATGCCAAAGCCAGGGGGAAAGGGAGTGGGGTGGATTTGAGGCAGGATCAATCCTCCAAATTGAATCTGTGGTTGCCTTCCCTTTTAAATGCACAGTTCTCCTTTCGCCTGTCTGTTCACTTTGATTGGCCTTGTTAAAACAGCCTTTCTCTCTTTCTGTCTGGGTCCACCTTTCTCTCTGTCATCCTGTCTCTCGGTCTCTGTGTCCTTCTGTCTTTTTGTTTCTGGCTTTCTGTTTCTCTTTCTTTGTCTCCCCCTATTTCTGTCTCTGTCTTTCTTTGTCTCTATCTCTCTGTCTCTCTGTCTTTTTCTCTCTTCCTCTCCATCTCTCTCCCTTGACATGGGCCTCTCTCCCATGCTGCCAGCCCCTCCTTAGCCCACCCTGTGGTTCTGCTTCCATCAGCTGCTTCCTGCATGCCCTCTGGAGGTTTTCTGTTGTTTAAAGAGTTAAGGAGAGCTTGGCTATTGGAGCCCATGGTTAAAAAAAAAAAAAAAGCAAGTCAGTGGCTGGGCACAAGCCCTCCCATGAGTGGGACTAGACCAAAAGCCACACAGCACGCTGGCCGCCCATCTGCTGGCTCAGAGGGGGAGCACAGTCTAGGGTCACTGTCTTTCCCCCATTCTGCATTCCGAGTGCAGAGACCTTCTTTTCTTTTTTATTATTGCATTCCTGTCCCTGACCGCTGAGAAGGTAGGTATCCCGGCTCAGCTGTGCGCTCGCTCGCTCCCATCTCCAGACAAGCCCCGCCACTCTGCTTGGTTTGAATGTGGTTTTCTTCCTCTCTCTTTCTCTCAATCTTGCTCTGATTGTTTTTTTTTTTTTTTTTTTTTTCCTCCTCCCTTTTCTTTATTTATTTTAGTGACTACTCATTTGTAACTTGCACTTTCTCCAAATGAGCTACCAAGCTGTGTTTCCTGGTTTGTCGTTTGGTTTTCTTGACTTTTCCCCAACAATTTTTCTGGTTCATCTTCCCTCCTTTCCATTTTCCCTGTCCCTCCTTCTCCCTCTCCATCCCCCACTCCCCCCCAAATCCTCCTTCACCTCCTCTCTTTCTCATTGTGTTGTCCAAATGCATTTCTGTGTGGTTTAGCATTCCGAGTTTGTGTTCCCTTCCTGAGCCGTATGCTGCAGTCGAGCCCATTTGATTTCTTTCTGGAGTAGCTGCTAAGCCCCTCACCCCTCATCCCTGCCAGCCCCTTCGGGCCTTGGTCACCTCACTGGCCCTGAGGGCCCACTTGGGCAAGAAGCAGTGGGGGAGGGGCCTTGCTGGGCCTCTTGGCCTCTAGATTCTGGAGGAAGTTCCAGCTGAGGTCAGGCACGAGGCAAGAGGCATCCCACCTTCTGGGGCCTACTGGGCCAGCTGAGCTCTGCATTTCCATAGGTCCTTTCCTCGCAGCAGGACAGAGCTTTGGGGTGGAAACTGCAGGGCTCTGGGGCAGCAACTGGCACCAGGACTGAGCCTCAAAGTTCCATTTTTTAGGTGTGATGGTAGATTAACTTTGGAGGATGAGCTGGCTGGGAGCAGGCACTGGATTTAGAAGGACTACTTAGCCAATTCCCTGTGGAGTAATTTGGAGGGGGGAGTGGACTCTTAGCTTACTTGCCCCCTGCCTGGGCCACTACTCAACCCAGACAGGGACTCCATCAACTCCCCAACATCCTCCCATCTGAATTTGGGCAGCTTACAGTCCCTTGGTGCAGAATGATCCAAAAATGACAGTCAGTAGGGATCATGGTCACCCAGGTGATTGGCAGAACCAGGCCTAGGTCCTGGGACTTGTGACTCCCATCCCAGTGCTCATCTGGCCACACTAAGAGTGCCAGAGTCAGAGAGGTAGGCTCTTGGGGACCCCACTTCCCCACCCTTGCCCTGTAGACTGTTTCCTGTCCAAGCTGGGAAGAGCTATAGAAGTTTGGCCTCCCAACCATTGTGAGGCCTCAGCAGACCTCCATCTTTTTTTTTTTTCCCCCAGCTTTGAAAAGAGAAGGCCTGGCTATTCATCCACTCCCCCACCCCTACAGGGGCAGGTGCTAGGGAGCCCACCCACCCAGAATAGTCTCCTCAACCCTGGCAGTGCTGGGAGGGCAGAGAAGGAAATTGTAGGCAAAGATAAAGCATCCCAGGTGCGTCCTTGTTCTTGACCTTCAGAGTACCAGGATCGGTGGGCACCCCATCCTTTGTTACCCCCTTCCATTGTCTTTCCCCTTGACCCTCAAACATTTCTTACATGAGCAAAATGTCAGGTAGTAAGTGGTGCCAAGGAGCAGAAGGGCTCCTGGAAGCAGGGTTCAGAGTCAGGCGAGATCACTCCCTCACTCATTCATTCACTCACACACCCACATGTTTGCTCCTTGGTGCCAGGCCCCTTCTGGGTGTCCGTGCCAGGAGCGAGGCAGGCAGACCTGGGTTTGTGATGCTCACTTCCCAGGCTGAAGGACTGACAAAGACCAGTCAGCACATTGGGAGGGGAAGAGCTGAAATGTGGTCAAGGAGTGCCAGCCCCAGCCCCAACCTGGCACCCAGTCCACACTGAAGGAAGGAACAAGGTTCTGTGAGATCACAGAGGAGCAGACTGGGCTCAGCTGGAACCTTAGGAGAGACTCCCAGAGGAGGCAACCTTGGGCTGAGGACAGAGGAGCAATAGGCCAGGTGGGGGTTCCGGGGAGAGGAAAGAGGGGAAGGGAGAGCCAGGCAAGAAGAACGAGAGTCAACGAGCAGAGCAGGCTTACTGGAGGAGATGTGTGCAGTCTCTGAGCACCAGTTCTGTTCAGCTGTGAAATCCCATAGTGACTGGCCCTGGGTCTTCCCTCAATTGCTTGGAAGAATGAGACCCAGCCAAGCTGAGGACAAGGCTCACCCTCTGGCAGGGTGACCTTTTCTTGTGGACTTCTGGAGGGATGGACGGGGAAAGACATGAGATTGGCCCTAGGAGTCTTCCCCCAGGGCTCTATCCACAGCACTGTCCTCCCATCCTCCACCATCCTGGGACTTGGGGGACACCCCATGGGGCCCCAGGCCTTCCTTCTCTGCTCTGACTCTGTTAGTCTGTGAGGGGACAGTGAGTCAGTTGTACTCTGAAAAGAACCTCCCAAACCCTATACAGGCCCACTCAACAAAGACTCCAGTTATCCCCATTTTACCAGTGGGGAAACTGAGGCCCCCAGGGTTAGGTTACTTCCTTAGGGTCTCACAGCAAATTCACATTGGGGCTGATTTCAGGGTGTTTTGCTTTGCTGATTACTATCATCTTGGGCTATGGCAAGTCAGCTAGCTTGGAGGAGATGGGAGGGAAGGGCAGAAGAGCTTGGACTACAAGACATGCCAGGCAGGAAGCATGCAGGCCAGCACAGGGGATCTCACCCAGGGCCTTGGACCTGAATGGTTGGGGGCACCACCATGGCGGGGGTGAGCAGCCATCCAACCCAGATCCCTTTTGTTCCTAGCACTCCCACTCCATTCCCAGCCCCAGACAGTGGGAAGTCAAGAGGGCTCGGTAGTGCTGATGGGGAAAACATCATGGCCCTTGGTCTCCCTCCCCTACTGCCGGCGCTTTTCCTTGAGTCAGAAGTAGCTGGCCCAGATCCAGATCTAGGATTCACATCCAGGTCCTGATTCCTTTAGTACTCTGCCTGCTTGCCTGGCCGCCTCTCCTGACCCAAATAGCAAGCAAAGACTTCTTAAAGGAGGGGTCCAGCGTCAGCTTGGGTGATGAGTTACCATGCTCCCCCACCTGGTATCTGTTCACTTTACACTCTTTGACCACCTGGGGCATAGGACAGAAACTGCAAATTTGAGGATCCTGGAGACTTCTTTCTCATTTGCCTCGTCTAGGGGGAAAAGAATGCTGAATGACAGAACCTAAGGCTGAGGCTTGGGAGCTGTGAGGAACTGGCCACCTGCTGGGGTGGAGCGGGTGTGTGTTAGAAGAGCCAAAGTTCTCCTGGTGATGTCCACTGAGAGTGGAACTGCTATCAGAGGGGCCATGGCTGAACAACCAGCCTCCAACTCACCTAGCCTAGGGTGAGGGGTGAGCTGGTGCTAGGAGCACCAGGGGTGCTCGGAGGGGCACCTCGGCACCAGGTGTCATCCACTCCACTCACCTATGCCTGCATCTGCCCCAAATGGAGACACCAGGCTCCCCCAGGAGAGGTCTTCATGGCCCCATTGGCTTTGCACAGCAGATCCCACTGGCTATGGCTGCTTCAGCCTTTTACCAATGGGGCTGACTCCCTCGCTCTACCTCCATGCTCAGGCTTGACCCAGGCTTGCAGAGAGAGGCCTGGGGACCACCCTGCCCCCACAGGAAACACCCAGGGCCATGCCAAGCAAACCATATTCCTTCCAGTCCCTGGCAGCAAGGTGCCCTGAGGGGTGGCAGCAACTGTTGTCCTCTCATCCAGAGAGCCTGCCAAGAGAGTTTGGTCCACACCCACCCTTCTTCTAGGACTCCCTGGTTGGCCTGGCCCTTGTGAGGGCATTTCTTCCTCAGCAAACAGTATTGAGGCCTTACCAGGTGCCAAGTTCTGTGATGAAAACTGAGGCTACATAGCTGAATCAGATACCAGACTGCCCAGGAAGTGCTCAAAGTCAAGTTGGTGGTAGTGCTGGGGAGGTAGGGAGGAGCATAACTATGAAGTTTAATCAGCTGTTGCTAGATGGAGGCCCAAGCACAGGAGGAGGAGTGCGTTCTATGCAGGGAGGGAGAAGGGGAGGGTGGTCAGGTGTGCAGACAATCCTGGAGTATTTGCCCTGGAAAGGGACATCAGAAAGCAAAAGCCAACCCTCTTATTTTGTGGATGGGGAAACTGAGGCCCAGAATGGGGAAATGACTTGGCCAGGGTCACTTGGTGAGGTAGTAGCAGGCTCTCAGACTCCTGGTTCCCAGCCAGGGCCCTTTTGATGGTACCAGGTGCCCTTTTTGGTTTTCTGTATCCCAATCCTTGTGCCCTAACTCCACTTTTGGAAAACCATTTAACATCTCTATCCAGTGGTCACCCAAGAGGTGCTCACTCAGACCCAAGGAGCCGGGCGCTGCCAGTCCGTCCTCCAAAGGCAGCGTGGCCTCCTCTCAGGCCTAGAATGGGGTGGTTGCGTTTTTCTCTCTCTCTCTCTATCTCTCTTGCATTTTTGTGAATCTAATGATGAACTTATGCTACCACACTTTTCCCTTCTCTTACACACCTTACCTACTAAAGGAGGAAGTGCCACTTTATTGGTAAGTGGACGTTAACCAAGAGGGACTTAAAAATCAGAACTTAAAAAAAAAAAAAAAAAGAAAAGAAAAAGAAAAAGAAAAGAGAGAAACAGAAAGACAGTCGGGTGCTACTGACAGCTCCACAGCTCTCTGCAGGGCCGGAAAACAAAGAAAGAAAACTATTGACAGAAAAATGTCAGGTTCCCCAGGAGATCAGACATTGTTTTTGATTTTGGTATCTAATGACATTTGTGGATTTTGTTTTTTATTTCTGTTTTTCCTCCCTTTCTTCGGTTCAGTTTTGAGTTCAGTTGTCCCGCCCCGCCCCTGCCCTATCTGTGTGCCGTGTGACCCCTCCATTCCCTCGCCCACCCCCTTACGCTGGGGGGCCTGGCCTGGCGGGCTGGCCTCGGCCCGGCCTCCCGGTGCCGCCCTCTCTCTTCTCTCTGCCGGGAATCGTCCGTCCCAGCTGGGGGCAATGCCAGCCCCGGCGCCTGTCCTGGAGCCCCCTCCCAGCCAGCCCCAGCCCACCCCCACCGCTCCGTCCCTCTTGTGTTTTGCATGCCGAGAACCTTGCATGAGCTGCACTGTTGAGGCCAGAAGGTGGACACTCAGGAGAGGCAGAGGCAGGGCAGGCGCGGGGAACCGTGTGCGCGATGCTCCGGGACTGGCGGCCCCGGCCTGGGCCCGGTGAAAGCCCTCTCTCCTTCTCTCCCCCCGCCCGCTCTCTCGCCCTCGCCCTCTGGCTCCCTCTCTCGTCTGTCTGCGCTCTCTCTGCCTCCCCTCTTCTCCCCTGTCGCCCTGCCTCCGTTTCCTTCTCTGCATCTCTGACTTCTCCCTGGCCCTGCCCCGTCCCTGTCCTCTCTCTGTCTCTGCGTGGCTTCCTCTTCTCTCGGACCCTCGATCCCCCTATTTTCTCTCTCCGTCTCCCTCTCCACCCCCTCCGTGCCCTCTCTGCCTCTCTCCCCGTCAGAAGCCCAGCTCGCCCTCGCCCAGGGCCCGCGACAAGGCGGCGGNAGGGGCCGGGGGCGGGGGGGGGACAGAGGGTGCAGGGCTAGGGAAGCAGTGACCATGGACCTCGGGGGTGAAGTGTCGCTGGGCAGGGGACCTTCTCCGAGGACCGACTGAAACTGGCGCAAGGAGGGGAGGGGGCTTCGGCGAAGGGAGGGGGAGCTCAAGGAGAGGAGGTGGATTCAGTGAGGGGGAGAGGGCCCAGGGAGGGCTTGAGCGCTCGCCGAGGAGAGGGGCTAGAACTGGAGGTGCTGGGTATGGGGGTTGGTCAGAGAGACAGGTGGAGGAAACCCCCAGTGGGGGCCTAAAGGCCCATGCACGGAGGGGGCTGTGTACTTGGGTCTGCGTGGGCAGCAGCAGTCATGGAGTTCAGCCCTGGAACATTCCAGCCTTCCTCCTGGAGCCCCTCCCTCACTCCCCATATCCATCTCCGGACAGTGATGTCTCCTTTTCTCCTTCATCTCAAGGTCCAGCCTGCTGAGTGGCCTGTGGCCAGCCTGGGGGCCAGGTGGACCCCTCCCCACAGGCTGCCAGGGAGATGCCCATGTGAGCTGGTCTAGCTCTGGTCAGCTGTCCGTCTGTCTCTCCTTTTCTCACTAACCTCCCAGCCCCCTGGGGAATTTGGAGGAGGGGGCACAACAGTCTGGTCTCAGAGCAGCTGTCAGAGGAACCAGTCCCCTCCCACTTTCCCCACACTGCCCAATGGGGCTGTGCTCATGAGGTGGCTGGTGTGGCAGAGCCATGATCAGAGCTTCTCTGCTAGTACTGGAGGGGTCTGGGCCTGGGTCTCCAGGTGAGATTATAGCCCGCCTTTGTGGAAGTCACTCTGAAATCCTAGGTTACCCTGGCATGGGATGGAGAGCCACAGGCAAAATTCTGAGCCCAGCCGTGCCACTGCCTCACTGGGCAGCCTTGGGAGATGGTGTGTCTCTCTGGGTCTTGGTTGCAGAGCTCGCTGAGCATCTTTTCAGCTCCAGCAGTATGATTTTCAAACTAGTCCTTCCTAGTCCTTGGTGATCCAGGTCACAAGAAAGGAGAGGGAGATCATTGCCCGCTCCCCTCACCGCAGAGCCAGAGGCCAGACCACCAGGCCTGGGATACCCCCCAGAGAGGTCACACACCCCTCCCATAGGCTGAGGGTGCTAAGACAGCCAGACCCCCATGCCTTCCACCTGGCACCCCCTCAGTCCCTCTCCCAGGCTGCCTCCTCCTCCCACTAATTACACCTGTTTTCTTCCTCAGAATTAACCCCTGCGATGGGGCACTGATGCCCCTTAACCTCTCTTCTTTTCTCTGGGTCATAGCCTCCTGGCTTCAGACTAACTCCGGGCCAGTGGGAGGTAGCTGAGTGAGGAGTGGGGGCCATCAGGACTGGGCCAGGACTTGGGCATGGGCAGCAGCGGCCAGGGTCCCCCTCCTTGACCCCTTCGAGTGACCTAAAAAACCAAAATCCTGTTCCATGGAGAACAGGAACAAAGAAGCAGGGCAGGCAGCAAACCAAGCCAGCGCTCAGCTTGGTTGATGGGAGTCATCCATATTTAAAAGTTTCATTCATTCAACAAATATTTATTAACATGTCCTCAGATCAGGCAGAGACTTAGGCTCCTTTTCCTGCAGACGGGTGAGGAAAAACAAAATGATCAGCGTGGAATTGGCAAGTGACCATTGACTCTCAAATTCTGCTTTTTGGGGGGAGGGTGTCTCTAAGGCCAGGGCTCAGGGGAAACTGAGGTAGGAAGCCCTGGCCACTGCTGGGATGGGGCTCAGGGCCTGAGCTAGGGCCCAGGATGGGCAGGGCTCAGACCGATGGATGGCCTGTAACCCACTTTTCCTTTCTGGCAGTGCGCGCAAGCGTCCTGTCCCCTACTACCGGCCCAGCCCCTCCTCTTCCTCCAGCTGCTTGAGCAGCGACTACTCAAGCCAGAGCCCCAGCCGCAGCCCCAGCCACAGCCACGGAAGCTACAGCAGTCGCAGTCGTGGGACCCGCAGCCACACGCGCAGCCCCTCCCGGACCCCCAGTCCCAGCTACCACAGCCGGAGCAGCTCTGAGAGTGGGGGCTTCTGAGCCCAGACAGACCCAGCTTGGTGCCCCCTGGCACAGGGAGAGGCCAGGCCCCAGGACCCCAGGAGTGGGGGAGGGGGGACAGTACCCCCCCTCACTGCAACAAAGAGGTCTCAGGGCCAACACAGGGCAGTTGGGACCAGGGAAGACCTTGAGGGTTGGCTCCGTGTGGACAAGGAAGGGCTGGATTGTGCTGCTTCTCAAGGGTGCCCGTCCTCCCCTCCTGCCCACCAGCCATGTCCAGGGAACAAAGAGCCGTTACGAACACAGCGATCGCCCTTCCTCCCTTCCTGCTCGATGCCAGCTCACCAGGCTGGGGACCACTACCAGTGAACGACACAAGAGTCCACAGTCTGCTGTGTCACTTCACCTCAGCTCAGTGTACCCAGGGACACCTCAGAAGGTGCCAGTTCTGGGAGCCTCCCCTCCCCTCTCCACAGGATCCTCCACTTCTCTCTGTCACTGGACGGACTAGGCGGTGGTATAGCCAGTGGGTTCTAAGCTAGACAGAAGGAGGAATGGCCTAAACTTGGTACACCTCCATCCAGGCTGGGGAGCTGCTTCCTTCTGAGCTGGCTGTGGGAGGACCCTGGCTGAGGGCTGGTGGCTGGCCCCACAGCCTCCCCAAACCCCTCCCATGGTCCAGGAGTGCCTAGACTGGGTGACCCC